ATGAGCGACTTACAAGGAAGGCAAACACAGACCGTCGAGAAATCTGGTGAGAGTGGAGAGAAGGAACAGATGCTGAGAATATGGTCTGGTCGATAAAAGCGATGGCGTTACTCCTCTGCACTCTCAGGTTTCTCTGGTTGACCTCTATGAGTGCTGATCATGTTCTGCCGCAGACCAGGCACACACATGTACCAGCACAACATACACACCCACACTAACATAGCCATTTGCACACTCCCTGCACATAATCTTATCCACGTTTAGAATGGTGGCAGACAAATTATATTACAAATTATATGGGCTATTTAAGGTTGGCCCTTACTCAGAAGTCTTGAGGAGAAAAAAAGAAAGTAGATATAGATCAACAAAACAGGTACACGACTCTTCACAGTTAGAAATGTATCAGTTCAGTTGATCTTGTAACAATAGTACAATATTGTTGTATGCTGAAAGGCATTTTAGCCTTTGCCTGGATAAGCTGCGGTTGCAGCCAATAAAGAAAAGAAATTAAAACAAGCCACTCCTCCACTTTGTGCTTAAAGCCAAGGTCAACCTGTAAAGTATATGGTATTGAAAAGTCAACACCTGTTTGTGAAGTCCGCAAAAGACTGGAATGGCAAGTTCAACTCAGGTGTGGCTGAACATAATCTCCCCACGCCTGCACACCCTCCCCAGTTTACAAATGCACTTATATTAGACCTCAGACTGCAATATCTGTCCATGTAATTATTCACAGGTTTATCATTATCAGGTAAAGACCAGGAGAAACTTCCCGTGATTTTAGGCTGAGGGAGTGGGCACAAACACAAATATAATCAGCATATCTGTACAGTGACTGCAGATTTATTGTTGACATAACCTGTTATTTGGGAAGTGTTGCATCTTTCCGGTTTGACTATTTTAATGATATGTTTGTGGGTTCTTAGAAGTCAAACATCAGCAACACAGGATGATTACTTCCAGGTTCAATTTGCGTGTGTCCTGTCAGTCTTAAAAGCTGTGTGGGACTCTTTTAAGACTTTATTTTTTCTTAAAACATAAAAAAAGAAACCTACCTTACTGATTATCCCTTTTTTCTCTTTTTTTCGAGTTTAGTTGCATATTAAAAGATGATTAGTCACACTTCCATAAGACATCAAATGAACTTTTTCTAATTTGTTGTACTGAATTTGCTTTATCAGTATGAGAAAAATGTGGATGTGACTTATTGAATGGTCAACAATGGGTGGACTGTTCCTGAAAGAGTTCTCAGCACGATAAGGCTCCTAGCTAGAAGAATTGGTTTAGTAACCACAGAGTGCAATGGAAACAAGCTGAGCTCAGCAGAAAAATGTCACCTTTCCTTGTTGTCTGACCATGTTTTATTTGAGGCTTAGTTTGTGGTTCAGAAGAGGCACTTAGGGTCCTGTTTAAATTGCAGCAAATACTCATAATAAATGGATGAGTCAATGGATCAGATTGACGGGGGGCACCATGGCTGTTAAATGGTAATGATTTCATACAACAGAAGAGAAAATGCTTTTAAAACGTCATTAAGAGCCAAAAATGTGATGTTCCAATCACCACTAAAATCTAAGCTAGTGTAAAGTAACGGTTTAAATTAAGAGTTGTCCCATTTCATTGCATATATCTTATGTGTAATGCAGGGTAAAGATATCTGACAAAATCCTGACAAACTCTTGTGGTGAATGTAATGGTGGTTTCTATTCATCCGTCTTTGGATATCTAAGACGGCAAGTTGCAACTTGATATGTCCTGGCTTGATCAGGAGCTTGATTACATGACTTCTGTTTCTTCACATCTCCCTGCTCATGTAAATATAGTGAATACACTGTGTATACGGAGTCCTGCACTAGCTTGTCAATGTCTGTCAAATATTTAATGCAGATTGTTGGCAAAAAAATGTACAAAATTCTGGTGTTTAACGTCTTCATCGTCAGGTTTTTAATTTCTCAGTGCAACACCAAATAATTTCAACTGATCAAAAGTCTTGACAGCAGACAGGCCTGTATAGCATACTCATAGTTCTACTAAGCCATACTGTTGGAATTGACGGTAACACAAAGTGGGATACAAGAAGTATTTAGAAATAAGTGGGTTACAGATACACAGAGACAGACAAACACGTTTGTCACTGTAACCCAAGAATCAAAAGTAAACTATTGCTCCTGCATTCTTACTACCTGGGTGATATTATTGGCAAGACTGCCTACATAATTCAGTATAATACCATCAGATTAACTCTGATAAGAACCAAAATGGTCCTATTTGCCTTCAATATACAGCTGCGTTTACAGACGACGATTTCTGGGATTTGTTCCTGAGCCAAGCTCAAATAATGATTTTCAGTCCTTTTTCTTGACCATAAAGATCGTCATATTCTCCATTCCTACTTTTGATGTGCACGATGCTAGTGGTAACATCTCTAGCATCATTACTGAGTTCTCTGCCTATTAGCTGTAGATATTTTTATCTTCATAATCAATTAAACAAATAGAGAATAATTTATACTTTTCACAGATGATGCCATTCATACATGTATACATAAATATAGATATTATCACTTGGTATGCATGAAAAAAGCCTCTATGAGTCTCATAAGCCTTCCATGTTTGAGAGCCTGTAAAGCATGCATGTACACAACGTCCCTGCAGAGATTAATAGAGCACAGTTACATTATGTACAGACTTCATTATTGAACCAATTGGATGAAAGTCTGATGATCCGTTTATTACGTTTGTGAGTTACTCTGCTGTGCATCATATGATAGTCCTAGGAGCTGGAGCATACCTTGAGTTTCACGCACCAAAATTACATTACAGCCCATTCTTGAAAGCCTTTTCAAAGCTTTAAACCATTACCTGCGATGTCATCTCAAAGACGTTGAGGAACCTTTTGTGCACAACTTCCCACATCCTTCTCTGTATTAATATAGCTTAACTTCTTCCTCTTTAGCTTAAAACAGGATGTGAAATCTGTGCACCACCTCATTCAATTCACAGAACTTTACCTGAAGGGTTTGAAAAAGGAGCCAGTGCTTGTTATGAGTCTTACGGCTTTTGCATATGTGATCTGTTGTTCTGAAAGCATCTGAAGGTTTATTTCGTGACTCTGAAAGGTTAAAAAGCTGCTGATAGTGTATCAGTGAAACAAACAAATCTTTGTGAGCTATAACTATTTAACAATAAAAACACTTAAATGTCTCCATGCCATGCATCCATTGAAACATGCATAGAAGAAAAGGTTATCCTGTGGGTCAATACATTTCCTTGTTCCCTCAAGGGTGTCAAGATAATATAGCACCAGTATCAGTTTAAGGATTGGCCAAGACTTAGGAGTGATTGATTTTAATAAGGGGACATTTGGTAGATGAGTGTTGCCATAAAGTACTTATTACATGTTCAAAATTCCTACAGTGAAAAAACCTCAAGAGCTGCTCAGCACATTTCCTAATAAGCATCTCACCTCATGAGTGAAAAATGGCTGCCTTGCACTCAGAGGATCTCCTGAGGTATGTAAAGTCCTTGGAAGTCAATGCGCTGATTTCCTGTTCATGATGTGAGTAACTGTAAGTAAGTGACAGGCAAAGATAGGAGCAAACATGGCTGCTAATGGTTGGAACAGTGTGGGCTGGAGTGGATGGGCAAACATGCTCATTCCACTGTTAATGGTACCTTAGGGAGGAGAAAAAAATTAACCATAAAGTGGTGTCTAATGTGGGTGTTGATGTGCTTGTGTTCGTCAGCATGAAAAGCGTCCGTGTTTGGCCATGCTTTGGTAAAAATAAGCTCAAAAATTGATTGAAGCTTGGAGATAGATGTTCTGTGTGTCTGGCTGTATTTGTTTCCCTATGCAGACGTTGTGTAGACATTTTCCAATTATGTCTTGCTGGGATAGGCTCAGGTACAGTTGAATAGTTCCATTTAATCCATTGCGCTGTTATTGTAGTTATAATATTATCAGTCATAAAAAATCATGTGCTTCTTTAGTGCGTTAGCCTCATCTGAGCATGCATGTGGTGCAAGAGGAGCTTGAGTTTAACAGATAGGCACATTCAGTCGAACCGAGTCATCTGCCTCAACCAGTTTGGGCAGATGATTTAATTCATAAAAAGATATTTAGTAAATAGTTGGTAACATTATAATTTATTAACCATGTTATGTGCTTCCTCTTGAAAGAAAATCATAAACACGGTGACCCAAAATACATAAAAGAAACAAAGATAAAGTGAGAGCGTGTTTCCTCTCACAGCATGGCTGTGTTATAAACCGGAGGCCCATTCATAACCGCAGATGTAATGACCTGTTAGTACTTGTGTGTTGGCATGAGTTTGATCTTTAATTTTCTTGGTTGATATTTTACTTTGTTTACTCCCTCGTCTTTTCAGTTTTATTTAGCTCCTATGTCACACCTGCCTTCCTTATACAATTCATTTAATTGTATATTTGTATATGTATATTTGTATTTATGTATATTTCCCCAGTTTGCACAGAGGTTGACTCTCTGCATCCAGCCCACCTCATTGTAAAATAGTGGGGGGGGTTTATAGGAGAGCAACATGTCTCAGCAATGTTGGAACAAAGACAACAGCTCATTAGGTTAACAGGCAACTGGTTAATAACATGATTGGGCACAAAAAGACCACCCACAAAAGGAAGAGGCTCTCTACTGTAAAGGTGTGCAGAGGTTCAGATGTTAGTAAAAAAAACCTCCTCCAAAATGTAGGGCAGTTCTTCAGCCCTCTAAGTGAAACATAGTTGCTCTCTTTCATTGAACGTCTTAAAAACATGGAATGGATGTAGACATTTATGTTGCAGAGTTCAACTTCTAGCATTTTATTTGTTGACATGCATTTGCATTTGACTTTTATGAAGTGCCACAATTAATGAAATAAAGGTTTCATTGATGTTGCAAATTTAGGGTAAAAACCCGATATGCATATTTGATTCTATTAGAAGGTTAATCAAATATATTTACCCTTCTCCTAACCACATTTTTGTTTGTCCTGTCCAGTTCATAACTCGTCACTGTCGCCCACACCATTCACTGGTTCTTTGATTCCCACCTACGACGACTTTACGCCAGACGACCCCCCACCAGAGGGCCCCACCGACAGCACCACCACCACCACGAACGGCGATCCTCCCGAGAAGATCTACCAGGGACTGAACGATAAACTCATCCCCATCTACTGCTCCATCTTAGCAGCTGTTGTCGTCGGTTTTGTGGCTTTCATCATCTTCAAGGGGTAAGAATTTGAATCCATGAATGGATAATTATGCCTCTCAAAATGTTTCCAGGACTGAAATGCTCAACAGTTTTTAATTTAATGGGTTTGTTTTTTGTGCCTGTTTTAGGATATTTCTTTTTATAGAACAAAAGGATGTCAGTGCTTCCTTCTGGACATGGTTTTTGTTTATTTGATCCTAAAATGAACCATCTGACCACCATAAAACCAACATAACTTGCGTACTTCATATTTAATAAAATCATCTGCTGCTTATCTAGCCTTCTGCTTTCCTATGGGTCACACTGAGCTCCACTGACCCTCTATTCCTTTTATACTCCTTCTAAATGTTGAATGTAAAATATGTCCCAGCCTCTGTTCTGTTTGGCAAGTGTTGTAAGTTCATGCATAAACAAATATAAACAATTACATACACAATACATCATTTCTATTAAAAGATTTTTAATAATACAGATCTGAGAACTGTGGGCTTAAAATTTAAACAGATTTTGGAGCAGTTGATCAGAAGTTGTTTTTTTTTGTCAAGCTTTCTCCTTAAATATAAGAAAGTTTAAATATTGTACATTGATTATACTTTATTATGATTGCACTGACTGCCAAAACTAACAGAATGGAGAAAGAAAATGCTCTGTACTAAACGGTCATGCATTCATCAATCAACAGAGATCATTTCACAAATCTTTCCGTGGTGTTTGTTGGGAATTTGACTGACCCCAGAGTGCAGATTGACAGTTTTTCTCAAATTATTGCTCATGGTATATTGTGCAGGACCTAAACCTTTTGTTTCAGTTGTAAGATTTTATGCATCGGGACATGATATGTAACAAAAAAGAAAAAAAAACTCTCTCAGAAGTTGAGAGATGTGAGATTTATGACAGAATCTTGAACTACTTTACAAATTCCATGCCAAAATGCAGAGAATGCGTTATTAGGAAAACTAAGTACACCCCTATATCCATCTGCTTCAATTCTATAGTAGAATTTTAAGAATAACAGAAGTCCTTTCGTTTTCACATTGTTGAAGCATCTAATGTATTTGATTTAATCAGGGTTAGAACTAATCTGACAAAATTAATGATGATTTTTCCAAACTGAGGTCTTGCTGTCTCTGGTTTCACTCTCATTCAGTTGGAATAGCTGTAAGCAGAACAAGCAAGGAGCCAACAACTGCACAACCAATCAGAACCAGACTCCGTCACCTGAGGGCGAGAAGCTCCACAGTGACAGCGGCATTTCTGTGGACAGCCAGAGTCTGCAGGAGCAGCAGGGCCAAACTCAGGCGCAAACCGGTACACAAACACATTGACACTGACTAATTCCCCAGACATACCTGCACTGAGGCCACTCCCTCATTACCAGGGAACGCACTACAACAGCTCTCATTCAAAAATGCTGGGCCTAAATTGACTAAATGCATGTGTTAGCACCAAAGACAGTGTTGATCTTGGGTTGAGTTCCTTCAGTATTGAGTAACTGAGGAAAATGCCGGAATTTTGGGTGTTTGTGAACATATGCAAGTTGTAGGCTGCACCCTGAACTGTCCTCCTGCGTCAGCTGACAGAAAAGAATTCGCCCACAGGAAGAGGCCATCTGATGGCCTCTGTCACTGCACCTTAGCTGCAATCTTTCAAACTTACTGTTGCAAATCAAGAAACAAGTGCAACAAAACTGACAGGACCAACAGTGTTTGTTATTTTAACCGTCAGTGCTCCTTTAGGTGACCCGTCATGTGAAAACAATTGTACAACTGAGTTCGTATTTAAATATTATTATTTATTTTTTTTAAAGTATTTTTATTAACCTTTTCTGGGTAGTTTATAAAATAGAATTATACAAAATTCTTTGATATCATCACCATGGGGCCTCAGAATTAATCTAATATTGTTAAAGACTCTAAAGAATGCACCAGCTTAGGCCTTTGTAATAAATAAGAATGTTCTATCTCTTTTTTAGGGTAACTTTGCCACGTTCTTGCAGCAAAAGGCATTTAGCTTTGTGGGATTCTTTTTAAATTAACTTGTTAAATGCAACATAAATATTAAATTTGAATTGAAAATATTTTAAAGCAATTATTTTAATACATAATTATATGTAAGGAATAAAATATAAGATGTAAAATTGCAACCTTTTTTTCATTTCCCTCAACAGTGGTCACAATTGATGAGGAGCCTTGTTTGCTCCTTCCGCTCCACACCAGAGAGAAAGTGGAGAAGCTTCTGTTCAGAGGCATTGAGAGAGATAACTGCAGCCAGATGCAGGACAGTGACTGGTACAACTTGGCCGGTCTTCTTGGATACGAGGAGGAGAGGATTGCGACTTTCCAGCATGAAGAGCATCCAGTCCAAGCCCTCCTGTCTGACTGGGCAAGCAAGGACTGTGCTAGCATCGATGCGTTGTGCACGGCGCTGCGTAAGATAAACCGTGATGACATCGCTCAGAGTCTGGTGCTAAGCCCAAGTACTACAAAGCCAACTGCCACTTCTGTTGTGTGACTTTAAACTGTAAACAAAAAAAACTTGAGCCGTAATCTTAAAATATTCTTTTATGACTTCTTTCACATGACAGAATTCATGCTACTCCAAATGTGACGTGCTCATCAATCACTGAAATCACTGATATCATAGTTAAAAAAAGGGAATTGTGAAGGAGATTAGAAAGAAACTCTTCTTCCTACGAACATCTTACAGTGAATTTTACATTTCAAAATTCACACATTTGCCAACTATAGTGCAAAGACATTGATTTCACTCCACAAATCGTTCCTTTTTTAATTTGAAAATCAACCTGCATCTCCATAAAGTTGAAATCCAACTTACTATTATCAGACTTTACACGTCAGTCTTAGTCTTCTCTTCCCTAAATGTCTCAAATGTAAGTTACCAAAGAGGTGATGAAGTTCATGTCAGGCGACATTATTTACACGTCAAGTTAGAACTGTGAAGTTAACTTGACAGATATGGCTTGTGTCTGTGACTGCTTCTGGATGAGGCCTGCATACCTTAGAGTGTCAGGACTTTTTAAAACAATGACACACTGATAAAGAACTCAATGACTCAAATGGACCTGTTCACAAAGATTACATCCATTACTGACTTTTATTTTAAGCAGCAGCAACGAACAGCTGTGCATGTGGAATTAGTTTCTGCTTCTTCTTCAGTGATTTCTGCAAGTCACGTCATTTTCCATCAGGTCCTGTTAGAAGTGGTGGCTGGACGCAGCCAACTAGGTGGTCTTGTAGGCCTGAGGTCATTAACAAAGGCAACATGACTCCAATCTGTCCACATAACACAGTTCGTACACAGACTTCTTCACACTAACCCAGAACATGAAAGGTGAGAGGACCTTAAGCTCATGTTATCCTGTAACGATCCCTAATACTAAATGTACATAGGCAAACAAGTAGAAATCCTAATTATTGGCATAGACACACACACACCTTCAGTATGTAGCCTTGCATGCATGTATTATACTTTACAACTAGACAATGGATAGCTCATGTATACATTTTAATTCTAATTCATTGTCAATGCAACAGAAAATGTCAGATCCTGCCTTATATGTGGTGTGGAGCATTCTCTTGAGGGGACCATTCATAGTTTATAGACATTATTAGTAACAGCGTAACCTAATTCTATCTGATTTGATCTGAGATCACATGCTTTGCAATAAGTGCTTTAGATAACAGTGTGTATTGTGTTTGCAATTTCCGATGAAAAGAGATTACACACAAAATAATCAGAATGTAGGATGAACATGCAGGGTCTAGAATCTGTTTAACTTTATTGGCTTCAGTTCTCTGGGTATTGTGAATATTACACTTATTACTGAACCTGCCATAACTGAATGAGCAGTCTACCAGTGTTTGTCCAAGGCAGTAAATCTTGCGTCTGACAATCCCTCGAGCAGGTGAAAAGGAGAGAGAAATTGGACAGAAAAAAAGCAAAAAGGGTGTCTGGTTTCTTCTCTGTCTGAAACAATGACCTCTGGACAAAAGGCGAGTCAGCAGAGACAGAAGTCGAAGGATGTGTGAGGAGTTCTGACAAGGAGAAGAGGAAAAGTTTTGGATTACTACAACGTAAAGGTTAAACCCAGGAGTCTGCACTTGCATTAACCAGCTTGTTTAAGTTTACAGCTGTTCTAATGGCAGGGTGTGCTGTTTTCTTTGTGTTGTGTCAAACCTTGTTGTTTCTGAGTTGGTCCAATCATATTCACCTTTTTCTCTGTGTCAGTTTCATCCTGGTAGCTATTAACGACTAATACCTGTTCTATCTTGTTTGTTTGTCTTCTGTTCTGGAGAAAAAGATTTGAAGGAACAAATGATGAAATATCTATACCTAAACTGATTCAGTAACTTCAGGGTTCCCTCTACAACACAGACTATTACTAAACTAAAGTATGCTGAGTGTCATACCATAGTGTTAATTTACATGAAGGTACTCTTACTACTCTCCAAAGGTAGCAGTTTATTTTCCAAATAATAGTATAATTAGTCAATATAATTACCTTTCTGTTGTTGTCTTACACTGTAGCATGATGTTTGTCATTTTTGCATCCAAGTGCCTGGGAACCAATTCAGGTGTGTGCAGATGTAAATTTGTTGTTTTTACCAACTTGTATGTATACTGTCTCTCCTTTTTCCCTATTGTAAATAAAAGCTGTGTTAGATTTTAGTATTAGTTAAAGCCTAAAAGCTGAGCATCTACTGTGGACCATTTATATAAACAGGACTTTGTTCATTTTCTCTTTTCTTTTCTTTTATGTCAAAGGGAATGTGGTCTTTTTTTATGCAGTATGCAACTCTTCACCATCTGGTATCGACCTTACTATATAACGATAACTGAATTAAAAATAAGATCAGTACGAAGACAAAAATCTGCAATAATCATTCCTGCAAAACAAAGCAAAGTTGTCGTAAGTTTTGTGAGGATTCCCTGTTATAGGCTGCACTGTGATTTGAAGTATTGTGAGTCAGTTATCTTTCCCTGATGCTAAATGAACTGTCTCTGTTCTTGGCTGCTGCTACCTAATAGTGAAAATCCTAATTGTGGGATCACAATTACGATATTCACACATTTTGTAAACTCTCAGCTTTTTCTCCAGTTACAAGGCTATGAATACAAATAATGAAGGGAATAAACATGGACTCTTCCGTTCAACCAGGTAAACATTCAGCAATTTAGAATCAGCACAGACCAATTTACTCTGACTGCCTCCCCACTTTATACCAATTGAGCTGCACTTCGCAAAATATAAGGTTTCCTTATGCTTTAAATCAAAATAACTCTTTTTTTAGCCTACATTATTTAAAACAGCTGAGAGTTTAACAAGTTAGGCCAGAGCTCATTTATAAGCCCACTCTCTATAGATCTAGAGTTCAATGTTGATAATCTAAAATGTCTCCTCAGGCTGTGTTTCTGAGTCCATCATTATTTGTCTGCTATAGGAAATACAAGATACGATATGCTGTGAGGCCAAATTTCTGCATTTTTTGTGGTTTAGTGAGCATTTTGGTATAATTATTTCTGTTTAAAGCTGTACATCACTAGATGTTGAGAAAGCCTTTGATGTGGTAGAGGACATCATGCCCTGAAGTCAGAAGCAAACCCTAAACAGTATTTGTTCAGTCTAAAAGGGATTGGTGGATGGAGATTGAACGTTTTGTACAGTAAACCCAGATGAAGGTGAATGTTGTGATATTGCACTTAAGTCAATACAAAGTAACTACACCAAAGGGGAGGTAATGTGCAGATTAAAGGCTGTCTTTTGAGTGTACAGTTGTGGCAATATGGCTGACAGTGGTAAGACTAAAAAATGAACCAGGGTTGCATTGTATAGATCCGAGAAACACTGAACGTTCCTTGTAAAATAATGCATATTCTGTTAGATGATTAATGTGAATTCACTATATTCCTACAGCAGAAAAGCAGTAAATAAAGCTCTTAAAATTCATTCTTTCTTTGTATCGATCCACAAAACAAATACAGACGTACATGTTGAGGCACAGGGTGAAGGTGCAAAAAACACCCACTGACCACTGGGGTAGGCTCCAGTTCCCCCCGGAACCCCATTAGGGAATAAGCGGTTACGATAATGGATGGATGGATATTAATATTCATTTTACATGTTATCTATGTTCCCAGTTACAACTGTTTGATTTTTATATGGCCCTGGGTATTTAGTAGTTAAAGCTGAGAAGAAGACATATGCCATTTCCTCTCAGAGTAACTAAAGTTCTTTTGGCGTGTAACTCAAGCTAATTGAGACAGACTGATTACTGAGGGCTTCAGCACAGTGAACGATATGAGAGAAAGAAGATGACAGGCGAAAAGGAAGCAAGATAAACTGATCCCTCATAAGCCCAGTTAAACTGACTACATGAATTACGGTGTGTGGTCAGTAGTAACACATGACTGTCTTAATAGCCTGTCAACACCACTGGACTTAACCTGGTGAGTGATACTGTATAATTAATGGTGCGTGAAATAACATGTGGGCCTCCTGCTTTTCTGTCATTCTGTTATGTATGAAAAAAGATGACTGGATCGGACTAAGAATAACCTAAACTTATAGAAATAACATGAAATAACAGGTATATCAACAAACAAAGTTTTAAGATACTTTAATTCAACAACCATACACATGAAGTATATGATTAATGAGTGATATATCAACACAAAAGCTCCACTTATTGTGTTCAGAGATATTAAGCCCATTGTAAATCCTCAGAATAGTTATTCTTGGTGTAAGTGCAAATGACATAGATAGGATAACTTACAATACATCTGATAAATACAAATTCATTATATTAATTTGAAATTCATTTCAAATGTGAAACACCAAACCATGCTTTTAGAAATTACACTCAAACATAAGAGAAACCTACTTCTTTCTTCACCATGTTTCCAATTAACTTAAACTGGATGTAACAGACCTCAACATGCGTACTTGCTCCTTACAGTCTGATCTATATTTGCTTGTTTAGATAAGAAGTGGCAAATGCAGGTTGTGAAACAGTTGCAGTATCCAGTATCAGTCTCTCAGTGACCTGCGGTTCAAATGGAAAACACATTGCTTAGCTAACTGCTGCTAACCTCCAGTGAGTCGTTAGTGAGGAATGTTTGACATGTAAAGAGAACCATGTGTGCAGAGGTGACATGTGTTGGTGAAAGGGGATAAGTCATGTTGAGGTTTGGTGACAGGTTGAATTTGGCTGCATTTTAAAGAAAGTGAAGAAAATGTACTCGCACCAACCAACACTGACCATTGAGGTTGAAGAGCCAAACCACCTCTAATGAATGTTAATGCATCTGTTAACAAAATTATTCTGGATTTTAACTTACTATTCAAAATGAATGAAAACTACTTAAGTTCCCTTGATGATGACTCTTACATGATTGACAACAGTTATTAGATCCAATAAATATGGAATTATTGAACAAATGTAATGATTGATTTTGCTGGGATGCTGGAAATGATAGATGAAACATACTTT